AAAAAAAAAATAAAGTTACACAGCTAATGTGAGGGATAGAGGTAATAGACTTAGAACTTTTTTCCTCTAACACCACAAATCTTTATGACCTATATATTGTTCTCTGGTTTTGCTTTGGACTTCACAGCTGTGCTTATTTTATTTTATTTCTTTTTCTTCCAAGTTTTTATCTAAATTTCAGTTAGTTAACATACAGTGTAAGTTTCAGGTGTAGGATTTAATGATTCATTACTTACATCTAACACCCCAAGTGCTCATCACAAGTACCCTCCTTAATACCCATCACCCATTTAACTGATCACCCTGCCCACCTACCCTCCAGCAACCCTCAGTTTGTTCTCTGTAGTTAAGAGTCTGTTTTATGGTTTGTCTCTCTCTCTCCCCTCCCCATGTTCATCTGTTTTGTTTCTTAAATTCCACATCTAAGAGTGAAATTATGTGGTATCTACTTTTCTTTGATGGACTTATTTCTTTTAGCATAATACTCTCTATGTCCATTCACGTCATTGCAAATGGAAAGATTTCAATCTTTTTTTTATTGCTGAGTAACATTCCATTGTATACATATACCACAACTTCTTTATCCATTCATCAGTCGATGGACATTAGGGCTCTTTCCATAATTTGGCTATTGTTGATAATGCTGCTATAAACATCGGGGTGCATGTGCCCCTTGGAATCAGTATTTTTGTATCCTTTGGGTAAATACCCAATAGTGCAATTGCTGGATCATAGGATAATTCTGTTTTGAACTTTTTGAGGAACCTCCATACTGTTTTCCAGAGTGGCTGCACCAGCTTGCATTCCCACCAACAATGTAAGAGGGTTCCCCTTTCTCTGTATCCTTGCCAAGATCTTTTGTTTCATGTGCTGTTAATTTTAGCCATTCTGACTGGTGTGAGGTGATATCTCATTGTAGTTTTGATTTGTATTTCCCTGATGATGAGTGATGTTGCGCATCTTTTCATGTGTCTGCTGGCCATCTATATGTCTTCTTTAAAAAATGTTCATGTCTTCTGCCCATTTTTTTAACTAGATTGTTTTTTGGGTATTGAGTTTTAGAAGTTCTTTATATATTTTGGATACTAACCTTTATCAGATATGTCATTTGCAAGTATCGTTTCTCATTCCAAAGGTTAACTTTGAGTTTTGTTGATTGTTTCCTTTGCTGTGCAGAAGCTTTTATCTTGATGAAGTCCCAGTAGTTTATTTTTGCTTTTGTTTCCCTTGCTTTGGGAGACATAAGAAGTTGTTACGGCTGATGTCAAAGAGGTTACTGCCTGTGTTCTCTTGTAGGATTTTGATGGTTTCTTGTCTCATATTTAGGTCTTTCATCCATTTTGAATTTATTTTTGTGCATGGTGTAAGAAAATGATCCAGTTTCATTCTTTTGCATGTTGCTGTCCAGTTTTCCCAACACAATTTGTGATAAGGTCTGTCTTTTTTCCATTGGATATTCTTTCCTGTTTTGTTGGAAAATTAGTTGACCATATAGTTTTGGGCCAGCTATGCTTTTTTACTTATGCTCCCTTCCACTTGGTATGTCCTCCCCCAGGTCCAGCCTCTACTAGTAGCAAATTGTCATCATTTAAGATCCATACCAAATGCTACCTTTTCTAAAATTTACCCTGAAAACCACATTTGGAAGTAAATTCTGCCTACTTTAAACTCCCACAATGCTTTGTACCTTTCTAAATATATTTATTTTGCCTTGAATTATAATTATTTCTATATATGTCTTAAATTTACCAACTAGAGACTGTCTTTGATTCCTTGTAGCCTAAGACAATCTTAAAGAAACAAAGTATATGTTAACTTAAGATTACAGGCAAAAAAGCCATCAAAATAGAAGTACTACTGATGAACTTTTTAAAAATTAGAAGATTGGGGTGCCTGGGTGGCTCGATCGTTAAGCGTCTGCCTTCAGCTTAGGTCATGATCCCAGGGTCCTGGGATCGAGCCCCGCATCAGGCTCCCTGCTCCTGTGGGAGGCCTGCTTCTCCCTCTCCCACTCCCCCTGCTTGTGTTCCCTCTCTCACTATGTCTCTGTCAAATAAATAAATAAAATCTTAAAAAAAAAATTGGAAGATCATGGCAATATGGTAAAGATTAGTACATACATGATCATTTTTGTTTGTGGTATTTGGAAATGTTAAATGTTACTAGTGGTATAACTAGATATGACATGCATTTCTTGGTTTGGTGGAGAAAAGTTTATAATCTTGGCTATCATTTTATATTTTTTTAGAAAGAAGATAAATAAAAGTCTGAGAGAGGTGGGAAGAACTGCTGTTTTAATTTTGTTCACAGCAGTGGGTCAGATTATGTTCTTTCGGTGCTAGCTTTGACAATAGGCTTAATACAATATTGGAATTCAACAGTTGGTTATCTTTGAGTATATATATTCTTTTGCAGTTATGGCCATATGGGATTTCCAAACTGTTTAGGATAAGTTTATGGTAAATAGTCTACCTCTCTCTAAATATAGATTATTTCCCTTTATTACTTACTTTATATTCCATTGTTTTTGTTTTACTTGTTCTAAGTTTTCTTCAGATAAAGGCAGTTAAACCAAAACTTACTACGAGGGGGTGGGGAATTTCATTATTGAATGCCCATTCAAATTTTGAACAATGTTTTTTGTTTTAAATCTCTTTAAGATATGTCCTTTTCCTCTTCTGATTTGCTGATTTACTTTGACAAACAAGAACTTAAAACTTTGGTTTTATTTGCTTGTAATTTATTTATTGGGTTTTGAGCTCTTGAGTCTCTGTTAAACTAAAAGTTCTATGTTTTTATGATTTCTTTCACCTGAATTATACATATCCTTGCTGTTAATTTGGCTGAACTCTTGAAGCATCTTAAGATTTTTTTTTTTTTTACCTCTTAAGGGAGAAATCCTTTTATTAAGGTAATCTCTTGAAAATGAACATTAGACTTTTTCATCCTGTGTCACTTGGACCTTGTAAAACTGTTAAGAAAGCAAAAAGTGCACAAAATACAGTAACTCAAAGAAGACTTTTGGCTTTTGAACTAAAAAACAGTGGGTAGGGGCGCCTGGGTGGTTCAGATGGTTGGGCGTTGCCTTCGGCTCAGGTCATGATCCCAGGGTCCTGGGATCAAGTCCCGCATCAGGCTCCCTGCTCCTTTTCCTGCTCCCCCTGCTTGTGCTCTGTCACTCTCTCTGTCAAATAAATAAATAAAATCTTTAAAAAAAAAAGTGAGTAAAATTTTTACAAATGATGAGACTGACAAAAACACTCCTATTGTTAAAGTTTAGAAATGTGATTGTTAAATATCCACTGGAATAATAAATCAGACTAAAGTAATCAGTAATGTGATATTCTGAAAACATTTGATATTAACCAGGATATATTAAATGATTAAAGTTTTAGATCTGGTGACAGGAACTTAAATTCTCTTTTATAAAATTCCTGTTATTGTTCATGCTAAATTTTTATAAAAGTAATACATGTTCATTTAAGAGAATTCATATAACATAATTCTAATAATAGCTAACTTTAGAGTTTGTTATATTTTGCTGTTCAGTATAAACTTGTTTATTCCTCATAACAATCACATGAGGCACATACTATTACTTTTCCTATTTTATAGATGAGGAAACTGAGCACAGAGAAATGAAGGCACTTTAACTAGGCCACACACTATTTGAACCCAGCACTCTGGCCTTATCGTCTGTGCCCTTAACTACAAGGTAGTTAAGAATTTGGGTTTTGGGGGTGCTTGGGTGGCTCAGTTGGTTAAGTGTCTGACTTTGGCTTGGGTCATGGTCCCAGGGTCCTGGGATTAAGCCCCACATCAGGCTCCCTGCTCCGTGGTGAATCTGCTTATTACTCTCTCTCTTCCTCTGCCCCTTCCCCTGCTCATGCTTTCTCTGTCTCTCAGATAAATAAATAAAAACTTAAAAAAAGGGCGCCTGGGTGGCTCAGTTGGTTAAGCAACTGCCTTCGGCTCAGGTCATGATCCTGGAGTCCCGGGATCGAGTCCCGCATCGGGCTCCCTGCTGCTGAGCAGGGAGTCTGCTTCGCCCTCTGACCCTCCCCCCTCTCATGTGCTCTTTCTCTCTCATTCTCTTTCTCTCAAATAAGTAAATAAAATCTTAAAAAAAAAAAAAAAAGAATTTGGGTTTTGGAGTAAGAAAGACCTGGGCTTAAATCATGGTTGCTACTTCTACTCTGGGGACAAGAGCCTATTTCCACCTCCCTGAGGTTCAGTATTCTTACTTATAAAACAAGGGTCGTTTGGGGGATAAAATGAAATAATATATGTTAACTGCTTAGCACACTGTTTAGCAGACACTACACTTGTTCAGTAGATGATAAGTATTATAACAAATACTGATAAGCAAAATAAAAAAAAAGTCACAAAAAGAAAATAACCATTGTTAGCATTTTGAGGTATATCCCCCCAGTCTTTTAAAGGTGTGTTTCTTGATTTTATTAATGTATCTTCTTTTATTTATATTATTTTCTTCTTTGTATAACTTTGTTTATGTTTTACACAAAGGTTAGGAAAGCTTGAATTTGTATCACTTAGCAGTAAGGCAAGCCTGTCAGCTTCTGTGCTAGCCAAAACTTTTTTCTCCCTATGTTTAGGTGTTACTAAGTGGAAGTAGAAGAAGACATAGAAGTACATTTTTCTTTTTAAACAAAAATGGGATAATGTTTGAATTAAAAATCTACAAATAAACAAAATGTAGGAAACTAGAAGTAGGCAAGAGAACAGCTAGTATTAATTTCATTAAAATAACAGTGAAACACCAGTGTCAGAAGAGTTAGTTCTTAACTGAAGACACCGTATCCGGATGAATAGTTCTAATGAATGTAGACTATTTCTTCTTGATGAGTGAGGTTATAGAAGTCTGACTATATATTGCGTTGTTAAAGAAATTCACTGGGTGTGGTTTAGCAGTAACTAATCCCCCTTTCCATAGCCTTAGCAACAAGTGGCTAAATGGGTCTTTTTTGTTTTCCTTTTAGGTCTACACACAATGAGCTGGAAAAGAATCGGTGAGTCAGTGATGAGTGCAGCTTTCATTTATGTTAAAAAGCAAACTCGGGGGGTGGGAGGGATTGGGTGGCTGGGTGATGGACATCGGGCAGGGTATGTGCTATGGTGAGCACTGTGAATTGTACAAGACTGATGAATCACGGATCTGTACTTCTGAAACAAATAATGCAATATATGTTAAGAAAAAAAAGAAGAAGAAGAAGAGAGCAGGAGGGGAAGAATGAAGGGGAGTAAGTCGGAGGGGGAGACGAACCATTAGAGACGATGGACTCTGAAAAACAAACTGAGGGTTCTAGAGGGGAGGGGGGTCGGGGGATGGGTTAGCCTGGTGATGGGTATTAAAGAGGGCACATTCTGTGTGGAGCACTGGGTGTTATGCACAAACAATGAATCATGGAACACTGCATCAAAAACTAATGATGTAATGTATGGTGGTTAACAATAAAAAAATTATTAAAAAAAAAAAAAGCAAACTCAGTGTTTTACCTGTGAAAATAATGTAATAGTACTTGTGTAGTTATAATTTTATTTTAAATGTATAGGATATCATGATTCTGATACATATGTATTCCAAAAAATGACCTAAGTAGTAGGTTTATACTGTCTAAACTGGAGGACATCAATAAATTTTTAAGCTCATTTGAATTTTGAGTTTATGGTATAGCTGCCTTTATGTTTCTGAAAACAGGTTAATTGTGATAGGCTCATGACTTAAATATGGTCATGCTATAGGTAGACAGAATAAAGGTTTCTGTGTAGTGTAACTAATAAGTATTATGACAAATTGTAGGTCATTGAATTTCTCTTTCTTTGCAGTTTATTCATTCATTTGTTCATTTATCCATGCATTCAACAAATCTTTATCAAGCATGAAGTATATGTCAATGCCAGGCAAGCATACTGCTTTAGATAAGAAATACAAGAATGTGTGAGATAGTTTTTGTCCTTAAGGAGCTTACAGCTTTCTGGGGGAGACAGACAGGTAATTAAAATCCTATATAGTGTGGTAAGTATGGTAATGGAGAAGCAGAAGGTGCTGAAAGATCGCTTTGGGAAGTCATCTGATTTTCTTTTGAGGGAGTCTTGGAAGGCTCTACAGAGGATGGTGAGTGAGTACTGTGTATTGAGGAAACTGCAAGAGGTTCAATATGAGTACTATAAAAGATTGTAGCAAGATGCAAGCCAGGCCAGATATTGACAACTATGCTGAAGAGTTTGGGCTTCTTCTGAGAACAATAGGAAGCAGTTGAATGATTTTTAAGATGGGTTGTCATGTGATCAGATATGTGCTTTGGAAAATCATTTTGGCCATAATGTGGAGAATTTGTTGATTGGGAGAAGGGATCTCAGAGACAAGAACACTCTTTTGGAAGCTATTGGAAGCTTCTAACATAAGGGATGATGGTAGCCATTGGAGATAGAAGTAGACAGAATAAAGAGACTCTAGGGAATAGAATCAGTAGAAGTTGGTGTTTAGTTGACTGTGAAAGGTTAAGTTTTTAGATGGTATTACCATTTGCCAAGAAAAGGAATGCAAGAAGAGGACAAGTTTGGGAGAGAAGATGAGGATTGTATGAGTAAAATATTCTCTTTTTGATACAGAGATTAGATTAATAAACAAACTGGAATAATCTGCATCAGCCATTTTTGACAAATAAAATTTCCATGACCTTCAATTTTTTGTCCTTTTTTTAATAGAAGAGACTTTACAGATTGACTAACCTAACTACCTCATTGCAGATGAATTTAAATGTCAAATCCTCTTCAGTAGGCTTAGCATAGTCCTCCAGGCTGACATAGTGGCTTTTACTACTTTGTTTGTACAATGTTCTCTTCATATCTCTTATTGTAAAACTTAATCAGGTAGTATTGTAATTATCTGTTCATATGTCTCTTTCTGCTGAATGACTATGACTGCCTCAAAGGCAGAGATTCTGTTTTTTTCAGTTTTGTAACCTCAGTACCTAGCATTTGATGCGTTTATAATTGATAGTGGCTTTTAATATTGAGTGAAGCCAATATTAAAATTGGAGCAAAGTTCAGTGGTCTAGTAAAAAACTGCTTTGCGGCAAAGCAGTTTGGCAAACCTTCCATTTTAAAGAATCTCTTCTCTGCCTTGTATTTCTGGTATATTAAAGGAAGTATCTGGCTAGTTTAAACATGGCAAAAACACCAAGAAATGACAGCTCTGAGGATTCTAAAATTAAAGCCTCATATTGTATTTTAAATTAGAGCATAGAGTGTATTTTGGGCCACATGTTTTAAATACTGGTAAACATGTGGCTTTCATAATTATTTCACCCACCTAAATGTAGTCCTTGGGAGACCCTCACTGGAAACCTGGCAAAAACCTTTAACATTGAAGTGACTCTTTAGTCAACTATTTGGAATGGAGCTTTTTAAATCTTTGAGTAAATTTTGTTTATATGCATTCCATATACCAATTCTGATAACTTTATCACCCATATTATTACTTTGATAAGTCCTAAAGTTGTTTAATTTAGTATCTGTCTGTGGCACAGGTGTAACGTGTAGCTTTTGATTGCCTGGACGTTATATGAACTCCAGTGTCTCCAGTGAAGGCTTTTTGTTCCCATTTTATTTACTTAGGTCTAAGACTCTCTTTTTTTTTTTTTTGATTTTATTTATTTATTTATTTAATTTTTTTTTAAAGATTTTTTTTTTAAGATTTTATTTATTTATTTGACAGAGAATGAGAGACAGAGAGCACGAGAGGGAAGAGGGTCAGAGGGAGAAGCAGACTCCCCGCTGAGCAGGGAGCCCGATGCAGGACTCGATCCCGGGACTCTGGGATCATGACCTGAGCCAAAGGCAGTCGCTTAACCAACTGAGCCACCCAGGCACCCCAAGATTTTATTTATTTGAGAGAGAGACAGAGGCAAAAAGAGTGAGCAGGGAGAGAGGGAGAAGCAGACTCCCTGCTGAGCAGCCCCCGCCTGCCATGTGGGGCTCCATGTGGGGCTCGATCTCAGGACCCTGGGATCAATACCTGAGCCAAACGCAAACGCTTAACCGACTAAGCCACGCAGGTGCCCCAGGTCTAAGACTCTCTGGCTGATTTCATACCCTACCTCACTTAAGACATGATTCCCTCATCCTCTTCTGTCTTATTCCTCCCTCCTTTTCTTTCTCCCTTCCTCTCTTCCTTGAGTCTTAATTGAAAGGTAATATAGAATTAACCTTTCCAGGATGCATTTGTTTTTTTTGTTTTATTTTTATTTTTTTATTTATTTATTTGACACACAGAGAGAGATAGCGAGAGAGAGAGAGAGAGAGAGAGAGGGAGAGAGCACAAGCAGGGGGAGCGGCAGGCAGAGGGAGAAGCAGGCTTCCTGCATGAGCAGGGAGCCCAATGTGGGGCTCGATCCCAGGACCCTGGGATCATGACCTGAGCTGAAGGCAGCAGTTTAACCAACTGAGCAACCCAGACGCCGCAGGATGCATTTGTTTTTAAAAGGGGTAGTTATCAATATAAATAAATCTCAAATTTAGTGGAATGTGTCAAAGGGTGAGTGCCAAAGGAAGAATCCAGCTTAATAACCTGCACTCCACTTCTGAAAAGTTAGAGGCTGTGATCTAGCAAAAAACAAAAATACTGGTAAACACAGGATGATTTATTTATTTATTTTATTAAAGATTTTATTTATTTATTTTGACAGAGAGAGAGAGAGACAGCAAGAGGGAACACAAGCAGGGGGAGCGGGAGAGGGAGAAGCAGGCTTCCCACCGAGCAGGGAGCCCCACGTGGGGCTCCACCCCAGGACTCTGGGATCATGACCTGAGCTGAAGACAGATGCTTAATGACTGAGCCAACCAGGCGCCCCAACACAGGATAATTTAAAGGGAGGGAGGTGTTTTAGCCAAATAGCAAGAAGGCAGCACAGGAATATTTTTTAAATTTAAGTTTACATTAAGTTTACATTTTTAAGCCCCTTACCTGTTCTATTTAATGGTTCTTCCCCTCAAAAGGCAACATTTTTATTTGATGTCTTATTAAAGAAAAAAGATAACCTATGTTTGCCTTTTATTTGCTTTTGAGTGTGAATTTACATGAGGAAAGTAATTCACTATCAAAAGGGTAATTTGATTTTGTCTTCATTCTGAGAAGATATTCCTGAAGTAATTCATGTTTTTGAGATTTTGCACTTTACATATGACATATTTATGTCAGGAGTTATTTTTTTTAACTTGGTTTAATATCTTGCATACAAAGCTGCTCTGAGTTAGTGTTTTTTTATGGGGCAAAGCAGTGAGAATTACTGTAGATGATTTTAAATTGTTAGTGAATAACAGAGGAATTCCAAATTGAGGCGATCCCAAAGCCCTATGATTGTTGAAGCTTTGGGTCTGGCCTTGAGGAGATAGTAGCCAGCAAGTGTTGAGGTTCATACTCCCAGATCTCAAAAGAAAGCCTAATGGTGGAGATTTGGAGTCTGGCAGGCCAATTGTAGTTTGGCTTACAATTACCCCAATATGCAGATAGGCTAGTAGGGAGCTTAGGGTAGTTTCAGGACTGATAAAGGAATTCAGGTTTTCTTGGATAAGTCCTAGGGGCTTATTTCTGCCTAAAACCTTGATGGTTACACTGAGTCTACTCTAGATGGTTCAGGGCATTTATTTGTTACTTGTATATTCACTTTGTCCCCCTAGACCCATAATAGCTTATAACTGGCTCTGGAGGTGGAAGTAAAAGAGAAGTAGAGTACCTTTAGATGTTCTGCATTCCTCAGGAATCTGTATGTATCATTTCATGGTGAAATTAATGAGCCTTTGAGATTTAAGATTTAAGAATTTCATGTTATCCATTGGCTTATCTTATCCGTTGCGTCCTTACAGGAGGAAAAAACCATTCAGTACAGATATTAGATCACTTCATTGCTTTTTCATTTTCTTAATTGAAATTACTGATGATGTTTTTGAAAGAGTCAACAACTTTAACAGGACTTTAATGGTCAAGAACCTTAGTGCTGATGGCAAG